TTCCTGGATTTTGATGTTTGTGTCTCTCCCTAGGTTAGGGATGTTTTTCGCTATGACTTGCTCACATAACCCTTCTACCCCTGTTTCTCTCTCTTCCTTTTCTGGGACCCCTATGATTCTGATGTCCTCTCACGATTGCTCTAGTTGTTAGATTGTGCTCTTTTGCCTTAATCTCCCTCTTGTTTTCTGCTTCATTATTCTCCACAAGTTTGTCCTCTATATTGTGATTCTCTGTTCTGCCTCATCCATCCTTGCTGCTGCAGCATCTATTTGAGATTGCAGCTCCGTTATAGCATTTTTTATTTCATCCTGACTAGCTTTTACTTCTTTTATCTTCGCAGAAAGGGATTCTAATCTGTTTTTGACTCCAGCTAATATTCTTATTATTGTGATTCTAAATTCTGGTTCAGACATATTACTTTTATCTGTGTTGGTTAAGTCCCTGGCTGTCATTCCTTCTGCTCTTTCTTTTGGAGTGAATTCCTTCGTTTCATCATTTTGAAGGGAGAAAAGGAATTAATGAGGTAGAATAAATTAAAATTAAAATAAAATAAAAATTAAAAACAAACAAACACACACACACACACACACACACACTCACACAAATCAAGTAAATGATGCTAGATCCTAGGTGTGTTTTGGTCTGGGTGTTGAAAGTGGCTTGATAGACTAGAGAAAAGGGGGGAAAAAAAGAAATCGTTTGAGAATTTGAAAAAATGAATACACTGATGTAGACTAAAATGAAATGATGGAAGTAAACTAGAATTTGAAAAAATTCACACAAAAGTAAAAAATATAGTAAAAAAAATAAAGAAAAATATTTTTATTAAAAATTGAAAGTAAAAATGAATTTTTTTCTTTTTCTGTATTCATGAAAAAGAAAAGAAACGAAAAAGAGAAAAAGGAAGGGAAGGAAGGAAGGAAGGAATGAACGAAAGAAAGAAAGGACGAAAGAAACAAAGGAAGAAAATTGAATAGTTGGACCAGCTTACAGACTGAAATATGACTGCAATTACTTCGTTTCCCCCTAGAAGTCAAACTCTGAAGTGTTTTATAGTCCATAAGCTAAGCAGGTGGTTGAGACTTGTGTTCTTGAAGAGTGAGGTTGGCCCAGTTGGTCAGGGCTTAGTGTTAATGGCTCCATTCTCCTCTAGATGGCAGTGCTAGCATATTGGGGTGGATTGTTGTGGTGCTTGTAGGTGCGTATGCGCATGCGCAGGAGTGGTGAAAATGGTGTCACCCAGCTACCCAGTCTCTAGTATTGGAACTCTGTTCTCCACAATCAGCAGTTGTGTACCCGTCCTTTATCTTCAGCTTCCATCCACTCCCACTTCCACACTGTCCGTGACCAAGCCCCAGGCACCACCTCCCTCCCCAGTTTTGTCTCAGATGTGGCTGCCTTCCCCGCCCCCCCCCCCCACTTCTAAGGGAATGTGGCATCGACCTGCACTGCCCGTCTGCAGAGGGTTTCATCGAGCAATGGCCAGGTGCTGGCTGCACCCAGGAACGCTTGTGGCACCATGCTGTTGCCAATGCCTAGACACTGTGGCCATGTGCCAGTCCACCCCAGAAAAAGTTTGTGAGAGAGTGTAACAGTAGTGCCTCAGGGATTATGGAAAATCACAACACACATATGGTACCAGGCTTCACCCCCAACGACCTTGTTTCAGTACTAGCGAATGTGGCCGTTCTCTGGGGTCTCCTGGGCCCAGGTGGCCTCACAGCCTCCACCAAATGTCCTTCCAGCAGTGGAACTGCTTCTCTCTGTGTGGCCCAAGAACCTCCTGGACCCCACTCTGTTCCTGGGGATTTGCTCTTTCCACCAGAGCACCACCAGGTATCGAGCTGCAGAGTTTCAGACTCTGTGCTCCCCCTGTTTACCGTCTTAATGGAATTTAAACCCTCTCATTTCTCCTTTCCCCTTTCTCCCTTTTTAGTTCAGTCCCTGTGGCTGTCTCCAATTTTCCACTTTCTCTCCAGCTGCTTTTGGAGAGGGGTGCTTTTCCCATATTCCGCCCCCCCATCTCCATCCTCTCTCCATGGCTTTTCTCTCCCCAAGTTCCCCTCTCCACGCCCCATACCTGCTGAATTCTATGGTTCAGGTTGTGCAGATTGTTGTGTTAATCTTCAGATCAGTTTTCTAGGTGTGCAAGATGGTTTAATGTTAGTTTGGCTGTATTTCATGGTCGTGAGACACACAAAAAATTCCCATGCTGTTCTGCCATCTTGGCTCCTCTCCATGTTGATTTGATATACATGTACATGTATCTTGCAACATGATTACCACCTTAGCATTAGCTAACACCTCTGTCACGTCACATAATTCCATTTCTTTTTTTGTGATGAGAACATTTGAAATTTAAGCAGTTTTCAAGCATATGATATATAATGTTAACTATATTCATAATACTGTGCATTAGTTCCTTAGAATGTGTTCATCTTCTTACTGGAAATTTGTACCCTTTATCAACATCTCCTTCTTCCCCCCACCCTCCAGCCTCTGGTAACCACTATTTCTGTCTTCGTATCTATGACTTAAGTTTTTGTTTTGTTTTGTTTTGTTTTGTTTTTTAAGATTCCATATATGAGTGATACCATGTAGTATTTGTCCGTCTCTATCTGACTTATTTCACTTAAGGATGATACCCTAAAGGTCCATCCATGTTCTCCTATCTTACAATGAGGAATATTTTACTGCTATTGTCAACATGACTATGATAGTGGCAGCCACAGTGCCATTACAACAGGCTTGCTCTTGGTGCTTGGGATGCATTTGTAACTGAGACTAACATAGTCACAGTCCAGTGAGTTGGAGTTAAGACACCCCTTGTGGGGAGAAATGACCAACTTACAGGTCTAGAGTTGCCCAGGGCTGGTATTTGTAAGATCAGGGTTGGTTCTGCAAACTATAAGACCTAAGTCATGTTTTTCACTACAATATAGCTCATTTAGTTTTGTTTTGTGGGTACACACTGGATGTTAAAACCCCTGCTAGCTGTCTTAAAATTGGGTGTTCTCGGTGTGAGAAGGTGGAGTGAAGATGTGGATGGATTGGTATGTGGGGGAAATTGTTCTTGGGAGACTTGACGGATGTCTAACTGATGGTTTATCTGCAGTGCCACTTCATGTGTGAACAGCACCGCTGAGTTTAGTGGTTTCATTTTTCTTGTTAGTAGCCCTAGAGAATGAAGACATTAAAATACACTTTGTGAGCTTTTGGTGATTTTATCTGCTCACAGAAATCTTAGTTTCACTGCTTTCATTTTTTATTACTGATAGAATCATTCAGTTATCAAAGAGTTATGAACTCCCCAAATTTTATTGTGTATGCAGTAAAATTCACAATACAATAACAGTTTATGGATAAAAGTTATTTTTTAATTAAAATTATGATTTCTCTATGCACATATTAAAATTCTCCATATCTACCTTTCTGTACAAATCGTAATTTTATAGTCTAATTTCTGCCTATTAAATTTTCACTATAAAAGACTTAATGATAAGTGAATTTTTTACTTGTACTTGTTTTCATACTTTTTAGAGGAGTTAAAATTATTAGTTGGTATTTTTTTTGTTACCTTTAAAATACAATGAGTAAAACCTAATTTTGAGCTTTTATAGCTTTGTCCCAAATTCTTTTATTGTACACACGCACAAAAAAGTGCTTGGGAATTTAGTATCCACAGCCTACCGATTAGTAATCAGCCTTTTAAAACTATTCGGTCACATTGATGTATCTTTTCATTTATGAAGCCTCAGATCACAAAGTTTATATTTTTAAATGATAAATACTTAATAATAATTGTCTTTGAAGAAAAATGTTTTAACCTTTAATCAGATTTCAAATACTCATTTAGCCACCATTATGTGGTTTGATGGGAACAAGGGAATATATTTTTTTCTCATGTTACAGAAATTTAGCATTCTGCATTAAAAGCATGTGGGGAAAATGGCTATATTGACAAAGTTTTTATATAAGGTCTTTAAAATTTCAACAGAATTTCAACATTATTTAGATAAAACAATTATGTTACAAAGACAACTTTTAACGTGATCAGGCCACCCACAGTGTGGACTAAAGAATATGGCATGCAAGCCACCCAGTGAGACTGAGGTCATTTTTTTCATCTTTGCTTAAAGTATAGTCAGTAGACCAGATAATGTAGAAGCTTTTTATGAGCAGCGATCAAATAGCCAAAAACAGTTACTCTTTTTCTCCCCTTTCTTTGTGGTTAATTAAAAATAATTCACAAGTTGAAAAAGTTAAACTATTTTTGTACATAGTAAATTTTGCTTTAGATATGCAACTCTGTCATTATAGTGATTTGTATAGTTGGAAGACTTTTATATATATATATATATTATATACACATATATATATATTATATACGCATAATGTCCAGTTTGTGTATAATTTGAATTAGGTGATTTAAGAAGCAAGTATTCATTAATGATATGTTAAAATTTGTCATTTAAATTGCTTATGTAATTTTTGTGCCTGTTGCATGAACAGAAGATAATTTTACCAAGAAATAGGATTAGTTCTAAAATACTTCTTTTGAACAACTTTCCTGAAAGATATTTTTATTGTTTTATTACCATATAATGCAGATATTAAATCCAGAGAATTTATCTAGTATAGTACCTAGTATCTAGTATGCCCATGCATGTGCATGTGTGTGTATATGTGTGTTTTAACCTATTATCTGAACTAATGAAATAATCTAAGGACCCATAATTGCTATAAAATTTGGAAGAATAGCTAAAATAAATGTAGGTTCACATCAGCAATTTTATTTGGGCCTGGTAAATATAGTTATTTTTAATATACAAAAGGACTTTGTAGGAAAAGTGGAAATGTATTTTAACAAACCATAAAAGATCTCCAATATAGCTAACTTTAAAAAAAGTCTGTTGAGTTTTAATGTAAAGCTATAATAGTAGCCTAACATGCCTAACATTTTGTTTTATCTAAGCTTCTTTTGGTTTTTCTAAAATAGGAGCAAGTAATACTGCGGACACATTATTTCAAGAAGTATTAGGTCGAAAGGACAAGGCAGATTCCACTAGAAATGCACTCAATGTGCTTCAGCGATTTAAGTTTCTCTTCAACCTTCCTCTAAATATTGAAAGGAATATCCAAAAGGTAGAGTACATATTTATGTACCCATGGTTATGATGTCATAAATTTTAAAGAGTTATTGAGATAGTTTTTTATCGTAACCAAATGTGTTCATGCTACTTTACTGACAGTCTCCAAAATGTTTCTTTATTTTAAAGGGTGATTATGATGTGGTTATTAATGATTATGAAAAGGCCAAGTCACTCTTTGGGAAAACGGAGGTGCAGGTTTTCAAGAAATGTAAGATTTGTTTATTACTTTTAGATCTTCTACTTTACTTTTACAGGAAGAATGTAGAATGCATTCTGCAGAGAAAGTTATTTGAATTTTAATTTTTGTTATATGGTACTCTTTTTAAAATGTAAAACAGTTGCTTCAAAAATAAAATGGCTTTTCTTACCAAGATGTAGCAAAGATGAACAACTGCAGCTATAGGATAAGTTAGTCTTGTACATTCTGTGCTGCTTGTTAATCATAATGCTATTAAAAAAATCTTTTGTACTGGAAAGAATCAATTACAGATACTTTATAGAGATGGAAACTTAGTTTTAATCTTCTCTTTTCAGAAAAAACATTATGTTTATGAATTCTAACCTTAAAGTGAACTAACACAATTTTTGAAATTATCTCTAATACAAGAGTTATAAAAAGTAAGAAAAGCCTAAAATGTCCTATGGTAATGCCTTATCAACTAGGAGAAATATCATAGGGCTTTATTAAATTTCTAAATGAAATCCATAAGGACTCAGAAAACTTAATTTCATTTTTTTATTGTGGTAAATTTACATGCAATGAAATGTACAAACCTTACTTACATATTACAGGTCAGTGAGTTTGACAAAATGCTCACACCCATATAACCCACACCCAGCAAGTTTCCTTGTGCCTCTTTTTAGTCAACCCCTATCCCCCAAGGCAATCACTGTTCTACTTGCCATAATTTATTTGATTTTAAGTCTCCATTTTCTAATCTTATATGTTCTTTCCTTTTTAAATAGATTATGCTGAAGTAGAAACACGGATTGAAACTTTAAGAGAATTACTTCTGGATAAATTGCTTGAGACACCATCAACTTTACATGACCAAAAACGTTACATAAGGTAAACCTTTTGCAAGAATTTTGACAAATCACATGTACCTTATAGTACTAGATACATCATTTGGGGGAAATTAGGAGACTGATGAAATGGTGAAAGGGAAGATAAATAGAAATTTAGTGGTATCCAGTATAGGACACCAAAATTCTTTTGTATACTAACAAATTTGGGAGTATTCAGGGCAAGAAAATTCTGCTTGTTTGGGGAAAGGGAAAGTGGCCTCATTGTTTAGTCATTTCTTCCTCCTGCTCAATAAGGATTTACCTAACCTAGCCGGACAGTGTGGGTGTTGCACTCTGTGGGCACCCAGAGATCACAGGCAGGGGCTTTTTGTCTGGTTTAGAGCACAACACTGTGACATTCTGGGTGGGAAATTCTTCATGCCACAAGAGTGGGCTGTGGCTCAGTGGTATAGAAAATTCTGAAAGGTTTTAGTATTGAGAAGAAAAAATAAATAAATTTAAAAAATTGCAGGAATATGAAAAGTGATGGATACCACAGGGTATGATGAGAAGAAGGCCTTAGAAGGAAGCATTATAGCAGGGTGGTAACTGGCTGTTCCCTTTCGGTGACTTACTTGCATTCTGTTTTCAGTTTCTTGATCTGAGATGACATGATAACACAATCTATGTCTTAGGGTAGTTATAAAGATAATCTAAGAATGCATTTAAGGATTTAATACAGCACCTGGCACATAAGCAGTAAATATATTACATACATATGTAATGTTTATACCAGGACTTGGAGATAAAGCATATGTTACAAACTTTTTATATCTATGATTTAAAAGTATTAACTTTTTTTTTTGAATGTGGCCTTTATTCTCAGAATAAGCTACTTTCCAAACTTAATGCCCTCTCTCTTTAATTAGTGAAGTTTATAGAGTATTCAGTACTTATAATAGATTGACTATATATATTTATGCATTTGGCTGTTGTTACCATATGACCATTGAACATGATTTCCAGGTATGAAAAGAAGGTCTGGCCTGAAAGCTGCTGTGTTTGCAATGGTGGTGGGGACAATGATCCACACTCAAGACTTGCATTCTTGGTGATTCAGTAGAATAGTAGCAACATGAGCCTTTGTCATTATCAGCACATTTGTGTTACTAAAGAAGAAAGGGAGAGGAGGCTTTAGCAGGGGAGTAGAGAGTACTAACATTGATTACTGCCACTACCTGGAGTCTGTAGTACCCCTGGGCATCATGCTAGATGCACTATGTATATAAATTCTAATCCTGATAGTTACCTTGTGGAGGCATTTGTCTGATACCCGTTGTATATAGATCAGGAAATTGAACCTCAGACTTCATTCTTGCTCAGTGCACATGGCTAGCAGTAGGATTCCTCTGTTTGTCTGATTTCAAAGCTTATCTTTGCTTTTCTCTAAGCTGTCTTCATATAGGAAAGAATGTATTTGGGGGATTTTTCTGGCTTGTAGAATAATGGAAATCTAAAGCTAGAAATAAACTATATATATGTTAGTTCTCCATCTGCTTTTTTTTTTTTTTTCCTTTACATGTAAAGAAAAGCTCCAGGAAGGTTAATCCTCTTGTCCAGGGATATACAGCTGGTTAGTGTCTTGTTGTCTGTGTTCCACCATGCTACTTAATTTTGCTTTGTATTTATATTTATGCTATTAAATTTGCCAATAGTAATATATTAAACCTTATTGAATGTACAGTGTCTTTATATAGTGAATTCCCATTTATATACATAATGTGTAGTTCTTGTAACTAGTTAATCTATTGAATATTATTTTAAAGATGGTAGGTGTTAAAAAAGATTTTTTCTAAATGGCCTGTTTAGGTGCTTTTTTCCCTGTCATTTAAAAGGGGAAAAGAATAAGAATGTTAACAAAAATGTCAAGTAGTTTACTTATTTTGTAATAATTATTTTTGATGCTTTGAGAAGACACTGAGCAATTAATCCTCCCCTTTTTAAATTAAGTTTTTAGTTATTAATAAATAGGAAAAATAACATCACAACCAGGTCAAGTATCTATTGGACTTTGGAATCTATGATGATAGGTACTGTGAACATCAGGAGGGGATGGAGAGGGCTTTATCATCAGCAAAGCATGTCTTTATTAGTTCTCTTACATATTCGGAAGTTTTGCATGGTGTGATTAAAAATCAAATTACTTTTGTATTTCATTTTTGTTCACTATTTTGTATAATTAAAAACTTTTGATTATTTTCACTCTTATTTTGTCTTGATTCTAGTAGCTTTAGTGAGAAGCAAAGTTATGTCATATATACTTCTTTCCATATGAATGTGATCCTATTCCTGGTAATTGTTAAAAATCATGTTAGAATATGGCTAAAAATTTTAATTCTTTAATTTTAAAATACTGAGGCTGTGCTCATAATTAGCATTCTTTACCCCTCTAAAAAAGCTGTTGTGTTCTTTGATACACAGTTTTAGAAGAAATAGTAGTTAACATGTGGCATGTTTTAAACAACGATCTTTGAAATGAAATACAGTTGAGTGTTAAAACAGCGTGGGGGTTGGAGCACCAACCGTCTGCCCAGTCGAAAATCCATGTATAACTTGACTCCCCTGAAACTTAACTACTTACAGCCTAATGTTGACTGGAAGCCTTACCAGTGACATGAATAGCCGATTAACACATTTTGCGTGTTACAGATTCTATTCTTACAATAAAATAAGCCAAAGGAAACGTTATTGAGAGAATCACAAGGAAGATAAAATACATTTATGGTATAGTACTTAAAAGATCTTTGTATAAGTGGACCTACACAGTTCAAACTTGTGTTTTCAAAGGTTAGTTGTACTTATTGTTTACTACTAAAAGAGAAGAAGAAATGTATTCAGTTAAGTCGTGTAAGCAAGGAAAAGCCTACCACAGATTATACTTTTGAACTGCAACACTGTAGAATTTCTGAGAGAACACATTTATCTTTATATCACATTTAATGTAATACCCACTAATAAGATGCTGTAAAGGATTATTAGTAAATTTTGCAAGGACCTAGGCAACATACTAAAGGAGCTTATAATTTTAAAAGTTATTAAGCAAAGGAGCATATTGATTTCTCTTGCTGTATTGAGCTCTTGTAATGGACCCTTTGTATTCCTATTCAATAGTTTAAAAATTAAAAGGAAGCAGCTTTCCTAAAAGAGTATTCCTATATTTACCACTGACACTAAATCTGAGGATGTTATATGAGTGAAAGTGTTAGGAAAAAGTATTGTAGAAGTATTCGGAGGCAAAACAAACCTACCTAAGGAGAATGCTAAGACAAATTATCCCCAACAAGAAAGAATAAAATTATGTTTTTTGAAAAGAAATGACATAGTGTACTATTTGTCATTTTATATTCCAGATGAAAAAAGAGGAGAAAGCTTTGTGTGAGTGGAAGAACCAGATTATGTTGAAATATTTATGCCATACTAAATGTATTTTGTTAGATTGTAGTTTTATTTTTGGGTGCTGTTAATTGATTTGTGCCTTTCTCAACACAGACATAGCCTATTTGCAGTCTGTAAATAGACGGTTAAGGAGAGGGAAAAGGGCCAGCTCTTCAGCTTACTTTGAAGCAGTGCTGTACAGTGTGAGCTACATTGTTTAAAGGGCCCTTTTGCAGGATGATCCTAGGCTCTGCTCAGAGCCCAGGCTATCTGCATTAGCTTGTGAAGGTCAGGGTGGATAGTTCCTCAATGTGATTGATGTCAGATGTCTCAACATTTTATTTATTGCTTATTACAAAATGTTTCTCCTCTAATTAGCTGCTAATTGAGATATCGGTGAGTTAGGAAATACCTAGTACTAGAGGAACATGGAAGAGAAGCATCTGGTGTATCCCTCAGTGATTAGGATAGAGTCACAGCTTGTAACCATTAATTAAAATTTATCATTGAACAAAATTCTTTAACCTCAAGACAATAGTTAGCTTATGGTTTAAAAATAATTTCAAGACAATAAATTCAGCTTTTGGAGTTGCTTTAATTGGATTTAACTTATTGCAGTAGTCCCCACCTTGTCTGCAGTTTCAGTTGCATGATTTCAGTTACCTGCAGTCAACTATGATCTGGAAGCATCATCCTTCTGAAGTGTAGTCAGAAGGCCAGTAGTAGCTCAGTGCTACATCTCAGTGCCTACATCATTCCTCACACTTCATTTCCTCTTGTAGGCATTTTGTCATTTCACATCATCACAAGAAGGGTGAGTATAGTAAGATATTTTGAGAGAGAGCGACACTGCATTCACATAACTTTTATTATAGTATATTGTTATAATTGTCCTATTTTTATCAGTTATTGTTGTTAATCTTTTACTGTGCCCAGTTTATAAGTTAAACTTTGTCACATATATGACAAAACATACTATATATATAGGGTTCAGTACTGTCTGTGGTTTCAAGCATCCTACTCAGGGTCTTGGATCATATTCCCCCTTTGGATAAGGGGTGACTACTGTATGTTTATATATTTTGTGATAGCCGAGGGCCAAATCTGGAATTTGTCAGAAATTTTTCAAATGAAATGTATTTCAATTGTCATTCTGGGTTTGGATGTTTTATTGTACAAAGAAGATGTTAAATATTTGAAACTATTTAGAAACTAAGAAAAATGCCCATCTATACTACATTTTGTAGAGAAGTGTTTTCTCAAACAGTCATGAAAGTAGAGTTCAAACTTTGGAGGTTAAGTGTTTATTGTCACCGAATCTCTTCATGTAATAAAATAGCCTATTAGGATGTATAGAAAATGGTGTCACACTGCCATCTAGAGGCCATGTTTCAGAACAGAAAGGAATAAAAAAGCAATTGAAATCAAAAGAATATTCACTAGGTGTCCTCTGCTGGCTCCCACTTGTGTTTTCTATAATGGTTGAGAACTAAGTATGGAAACACTCTGTGAATTAAATATAAATATAAATTTAAGTTCTAAGGTTTTAGGATTATTTCAAGCTGTAAATTTGTCTTCTGGGTTGTTTTTGTATAAAGTCCTAATTTTTAAAAAATACAGTTTTATTGTTTATTTTTGCATGAAAAGAAATTTGAATATATTTTATTTAGAATGACCTATTAAAAGAGTTCCTGGGTGGCTCAGTTGGTTAAGCGTCCAAGGCTCAGGTCATGATTTTTGGCTCGTGGTTCGTGAGTTTGAGCCCCACTCGAGCTCTGTGCTGATGGTGCAGAGCCTGCTCGGGATTCTCTCTCTGCTCCTCTCTCTCTCTCTCACTCTCTCTCTCTCAATAAACAAACAAACAAACTTAAAAATTTTGAAGACTGATGTTAACAGGTGCTTTTACCATTTGATAAAATTTTAGGGTTTTTTTTTCTTTTCTTTCTTTCTTTTTTTTTTTTTTAGTGTTTATTTTTGAGAGCGAGCATGAACTGGGTAGGGTCAGAGAGAGAGAGAGAGAGGGAGACAGAGAATCCAAAGACAACTCCACTCTGTCAGTAGAGCCAGATGTGGCATGTGAACTCAAAAACTGTGAGATCATGACCTGAGCCAAAGTCAGATGCTTAACCGACTGAGCCACCTGGGCCCCCCTTATAAATTTTCAGGTTTTCTTAAAATAAGTAATGACTTAAAAGAAAAATGCTAGCTTTCCTTTATCCTTATTTATGGCTGTACAGAGGAAGCCTACTTGGTTAAACTTGGCCTTGTTTTTTCAGGTACCTGTCTGACCTTCATGCACCAGGTGACCCTGCTTGGCAATGTATTGGTGCCCAACACAGATGGATCCTTCAGCTCATGCACAGCTGCAAAGAGGGCTATATACAAGATTTGAAAGGCAAGTCTGCTTCTCTTCTGGTGCATTATGCCATTCCTTATTGTCATGCCATTCCTTATTGTCAGTTTAATATTTGGAAATGCTTAATAATTAAGGGAATGATTAATTTTCTTGATATTTGTGCCTGGTTTTTGTCTTGTTTTGGTTTGGTTTTGGTTTTGCTCCTGGTTTAGCATTATACCTGAGTGATTAACAAAACGGGAGGGAAGGGAGAAAATTCTTGATTATGCCTATTTTATGGTTGGCACCCAGTGTTGACAAAGGTTTGGTTTCAGGAATAGTTAAACTTTTATGGGAAGCAACATGTTATTGTAGAAATATTAGTCTTTAATAAATGGTAGGAGTCCACTCACTATTCATCAAATATACGTTGAGCTCCGCTATGTGCCAAGTACTATGCCAAGTACAGATGGTGTTAAACTAACAAAAGATGAAATTATTGACAAGTAATATAAAGAAAAATCATAATATTGTGCGGGAGGAGAATACATTAGATGGCCATTTTTTTCTGAGAAAAAGAAACATTGACAAAGGCCCTGAGGTAAATTTTAAAGGAAGAAGTCACAGCTGCATTCACATTCAGGTTTATCAACTTTTATTTGTATAATTCTATCATTCCACAGATATTGGATATATTCAGTTCCTGCTGTGTGTTGGCCACTATTGGGTGCTAAGGATATAACAGTCAGTGTGGCAGACAGGGGCCTGGCTCACATGAGACTTATAAAATAGCAGGGGGCTATGGACAGGGAAAGTAGAAAGGACTAGTAGAATACAGTGTTACTTTCTAAGCCTGGGAAGTTCCTAGTGCCATGGTAGTAGCACTTAAGAACAGCATTCAAATCAGAGTTTTGAGGTCGCAGTGACATTCCAAAATCTGAAGGAAATAACACTTGTTTTGAGATCGGAATGATATATGTATGGGCCAGTTGAAATAGAGGAGGAGAAGAGGAAAGACCACTCCAGGAATAAAAAACAGAATGTGCACAGGACTTCAAGCAAGAGATGGCCAGTGAATTCTCTGTGGCTGGAGCTTAGTGCACAATCAAAATGGCAAGAGTAGGGGCCAGAGTTAGGAGGTGCCAAGGCTTATATGGACCTCGTTAGCCACTTCAAGGGGTTTGGACTTGATCTAGAGGACATTGGGCTGACAGTTACAGGTCTGAAGTCTGAAGCAGGGGAAAGACCCACTGAGACTTAGTATTTGAAAGACTCCTTTGGCTTCCATGTAGTGAATGGATGAGAGGGAACAAGACTGAACAGCAAAGCTCGTTATGAGGCTGCTACATTGATTCAGGCATCTTGCCTCACATGGACGTGGTGGATATGGAGAAAGAGATACAAGAGGTGTTCAGAAACTGGAAGTGATAAGACTTGGTGATTGAAGAATGAGGAAGAAGAAGGGGTCAAAGGTGACTCCCAGATATCTGATTTCAACAGCTAGTTAGGACGATGGCACCATTGAGTTAGGGACCATAGAAGAAAAAACTTATTTTTTTTTCTTTTGTTTGGGAAGATTGATTTGGAGTTGTCTGACATACAAGGGAAGATATCCAATAGGTAGTTCGGATTTACAGAACAAGAGATTTGGATGTGATCTGTGTGTAGATGGTCCCTGGGAGTTGATGCATTCACCCAAGAAGAGTTAAAAAGGAGAAAATTTCAGGCAGAAATCTGGGACACAATATTTACAGGGCTGATAGAAGAGACAAAGAAGGAGTGGTCTGCTGGGGTAGGAGGAAAGCAGGGCGTTTAATGTCATGACATCACAGAGGAGTGATCAGCAAGTTGTTTTAAGATGAAGAATAAGATGAAAAGATGTCTTTTAGATTTAGCGCTGAGGCTATTGTTGGTGACCTTGGTAAATGTAGTTTCAGTGGCATGAGATGCCAAATAGATTATATAAATGTAAAAATAAATGAGACATAGTGATACTTACATGGCAAGGTTTCCAGGAGGAATAAGTGAAGTAACATAAGAACAGTCCTGGAACAGAAGGAAGTATAATGGAGAGGTCACAATTATTTGTTTATAGCATCATTTTGTTATGAATTACTTGGCTTGGTTTTGAGTACTTCCCAGCTGTAATTTTGTTTTATTCTAGGTATTTAGGAAAACCCAGATATCTCCTTATTGATGCCACATGAAAATTCCTATTGATGTCATTAATTACTTTAAAGTTTTAGCAGGTAAAAATGACCTCAAATTATATACACAGTCTGTATGTAGTCTTCAGGGATATTTAAAAGGCCTTACACATTTGTTTATTGGGTGTACTTTATTAGCCAGAACTTTCAACATTGACTTCCCATCAGAATTCCCTGGATCTTTTTAAAGACTGTCAATTCCTGACCTCTACTTTATTCCTACTGATTATTTTAGAATCTCTAAGTCTAGGCATCAGTATTTTTTTTTAATGCTCTCAGATGATTCAGGAATAGCCTGGATTGAATCTGTGCACTACATGCTGTGCTAGGGACTGGAAGTACAGTGGTAAGCAAGGCGACATGGTCTCTGACCTCTTAGAGCTTGTAGCCTAGTGGGAGAGATATATATTTTTAAAAGCCACATATATAATTGTGAAAAACATCATAAAGTAGGGAGTATAAAATTCTACTTCAGTCTATTGAGGGGGAGGTCCAAGGAAGTTTTCTAAAGGAGATGATATTTCCATTGAGTCTAAATGATAAATATCAGTTATCCAGATAAAGAAGTGTAGATTAGCCCAGATTCCTAGGAGGTGCTCAGTATTGTCACCCTATTCCCCAATCCACTAAATGGTAATAGGTAACAGTGATTAACATATATCTCCAGATTCAAAGAGGATATGTGGTCTAACTAAGGATTTTCCTACTTATAAGAGACATCTGATTGTGTAATTTGGTTATGAAAATATTTGAATTTTTGGGATATGTGTAATTTATAAAGACAACATGTAGACTATTTGAAATTGGAAATGTACCATGAAATTTCACTTATCTGAACACCTAATAACACATATTGTTATGTCCATACCTGAAATATCTGATAACCAGTATTCCATTGCTAAAGGTCTGAATCTTTCTTTAAGATAAATGGAGACACACTTTTACCTGATGGATTCCTTTCCTGTCATCTTGATGTTATGTATCACCATATGTATTTATCTAGAACTGGTTAAAATCAGTATGTCTGAAAAAAAATGATGATAGCTTATGTGTAGCTGGAGCTGTACCTTTTAAATTCACTGACCAAAGTTATTGCAGAACTTGCTCATCACTTGTACTCATGAAATAATGAAAAGAATGTACGTTAAATAGATCCATTTGTTAGTGATGAGCTCTACCTAAATTTATTTTCATAAGTTGGTCTTTTTGATTAGGAAGTAAAAACATAACAATTTATAACTTACTCCACAGATTTTATAACCATACAAGATAAATTTCCTAAATATATTATTAGTCACATATTTATAGGTTATATTTTAATTTTTCTCTTTCAAAAGAACATGCTTAACTGCACTCTTTTTTTTGAGAGACACAGCATGAGCCAGGGAAGGGCAGAGAGGGAGACAGACTCTGAAGCAGGTTCCAGGCTCTGAGCTGTCAGCACAGAGCCTGATGCAGGACTCAAACCCATGAATGACAAGATCATGACCTAAGTCGAAGTCGGTTGCTTAACTGACTGAGCCACCCAGGTGCCCCTTAACTGCCCTCTTTTATTGTCAGCAAATACGACTAATAAAAACAACATAGATAATCCTAACACGGAAGAGCCTTTTACTTGGAAAATTGATGTGTTCCTTGAGCTCATATCAGGATGAGTTTTTATGATTTTATTTGCAGAATTCCAAACATACTTAAAAGCAGAAAGTGTGATAAAATAACCTCCAATGTACCTAACCTAGTTTCAGCAGTTATCAATTCATAGCCAGTCTTACTGTATCTGTACTCTTACCTGTTTTTTACCTCCCCTCACCCTGAATTTTTTTTTTTTCAACGTTTATTTATTTTTTTGGGGACAGAGAGAGACAGAGCATGAACGGGGGAGGGGCAGAGAGAGAGGGAGACACAGAATCGGAAACAGGCTCCAGGCTCTGAGCCATCAGCCCAGAGCCGACACGGGGCTCAAACTCACAGAACGCGAGATCGTGACCTGGCTGAAGTCGGACGCTCAACTGACTGCGCCACCCAGGCGCCCCCTGAATTATTTTTGAAGCAGGTCATATTCATTCATAATTATTTCAGTATGTAAGTTTCAGAGATAAAAATTCTTTTTAAAAACTGTAACCAAAACACCATTATGATAACTTAAAAGTTATTAATAATTTCTTAATATCAAATATTTAGTCTTCAAAATTCAGAATCAGTTTGATGTATCTAAGTACACTGATACCCTACCTTTTTAACTTACACTCAATGCAAAGGCAAAGGACATGAAATGTGGCATAGATATAGACTGAACATGTGTTTCCTAAAATGGAAAAACTAGCCATTAGTAAAATATGGCCCACAGACCCATTTCTGTTCTGGTTGCTCTCATTAATGCATGTATATGTCATTGGACACATGTTAGCTCTTATATACACATAATACACATTTACTACTTTCACACAGATGATGTAATCATATATAGTATAGGTGTATGTATGTGTGGATGTGTTTATATAAAATATATGTCTTAATTAGAAGTGTGCTGGGAATAAGCTGTTTGTTCATGATGTACTCTCAGTTGATATTTGAGTGTCTAAATATATAAGTGTAAGGTAATATGGGGGAGGTCTCCTAAATATCATTTGGATTTTTTATTGGCTATCTTCTCATTGTTATGTCATTTTAGAAATGTAAAAAACCTGGGATAGTGTCTAGTTCAATTGATGACTTTATGTCTATTGTGCATGTGAAGGCGGTATCTCAGAGAGTGACAACCCAGCTTCCCCTTGTCCTGAATAGGGGTGGAAGTAGTGAGCAGTTCAGATTTCTCCCCATTCCACCAGACTCTACTCCTTCTGGACCAGTGAG